CCTTTTACCAGCAATCATTACAAAATGTATTCCAATATGATAGGACATTCAGTTTAAAAGTTGTAACGATTTATTTAAATAGAGTTAGCAGCTGACTCTAAAAATTTTAAAATATTCATAAAAAATCAGTTATTGTTTTTAATTTTTTTTGATGATTTATCCGTCGATGAAATAGAGTGTAGTTTCCCTGATTTTGATATGTGCACTTTATGAAGACTCACACTGTATTGGATTTTTGAAAAGAGCGTATAATTTCCAGCCTACTGATGCCTCACAAGTACATAAAAGATTGCCGTATGATCGAAATATCATCACTCGTACTGTTATGTATTCATTTGTTTCTAAGGAGGCCATGATTTATTCGTCAGAAAATAAAATTAATAAGTAACGACTTTTTTTCATATAAGGAGACTCTGACTTTGACGTTAAATAATTCAAAGTATTAAAATTGTGTTTTAATAAGTAGTAGGTACGTTTTCTCTCATTAAAATCATAAATATGACAAAAAAATAATCAAAACCTGTTGACTATGGACGGTACTCTCTACTTAAATGACAAAAAGGTTGACATGTTAACGCTGTACTTGCAGTCACACAAAAACGCCGACATTACCTCAGCAAGTTAATTGGAGATGTATCCGGAACGACGGCAGTAGTAGTTAATTCAATAGACCGGGCCTTCGAGCAACCTAGAAGCGGAAACGATATTGAAACTGAAAATCTCGACAGAAACATTTTACAAGATGTCAACGAAATCTCTGTGCATCAGTAAGAACGGAAGAGAAATTGGTTTGTCAAAATCAGAGAGGGTTAAATAAGAACGGTTCTTATACCATCTATACAAACCTACAATAGTTCAAGGACTTAAGGAAACTGCGCTTCTACTAGTGGTGTACTGGGAACTCTAATGAAATTCCCGATTTTGTAAATCATGAATGTGGTCTGACGAGAGTAGGTTCACGAATTGTGGAGTTTTTAATAAGCACAACATCATTGGGCTGAAGAGACGTCAACAGACCAGGTTTGGAACTAACGTTTGGTGTGGGGTCATTGGTAATTTAATCCAACTTACCCTTCTTAGATGGGCACCTATTTGAAATTAGATATTAATCATTTCAGGAAATCGACTTATTGGGCCATATTTGTTTGACTACAACGTAAATGGACAGAGGTACCTAGAGCTTTTGCGAGACCAGGTTGTGCCGGCTTTACGAGCCAGTCTAACTGAAGATGAGCTTAGAAGAACTTGGTTCCAACAGGATGGATGTCCGGCTCACACCATTCAAGCCAGCAATTTCTAAGAGAGCTGTTTGATGAACGGATAATTTCAATAAATGGGTCAATAGCTTGGCCCTCTAGACCCCCTGACCTTTCACCCTTGGATTTCTACCTCTGGGGTCATACAAGGCATGAGGTCTATCAATTTGATCTTATCTTAAGACAAAGTATTTTGAGCACAATTAGTGACATTAACAGAAATACACTAGCTAGGGCTGTACGAACAACAGTTACCAATTGCCAAAAATGTCTGGATTCAAATGGATGTTATTTTGCAAATCTGTAAATTAACACCCACTTACATAATTAGATTTTACATTACAATTTTGTAAAATGTTTGTTTGTTCAAGTGTTTGCTCAGACTTTTCTGACTTGTTTTTTAAAACACTGTTAGTTGGGAATTTGTCCCAAAACATTTGACTTGTTGAGAAGTCGATTTTAACGTTAATATTCGACTGAAAATTCAAGGCGTTTATGTGTTTTTTATGCCTTACTCATTAATGCTATTTTCTGACAAATAAATCATGGCCTTCTTAGAAAAAAACTAATACAAAACATTACGTTTGATGATATTTCGGTGATACCCCAATCTTTTATGCACTTGTGAGACATCACTAGACAGAAAATTTTACTCTTTTCAAAAATCGAAAAATTCGATATGGCGGCCAGAATAAAAATGAAACTAAGCTGGAAAACAAAAAACTATTAAGACATGTCATATATTATTTCTCTTACAAAAATTTCGGAATAATGTCATATCTTGACAGCTGTCAAATTTACCGTTTTGGATTTACTGGCAAAAAACAAAAACCTCCATTTTCGGTTTTTCGCTGATATTTTCAAAAGTAACACTGGACAACAAATTTTAGTTTTTTAATTGTATCTTGTGGAAAAAGTGCACTTCTTTGTTAATTTTGGGGCGCTGAATCCAAAAATGACAATGAAATAAAAAAATTAGTTGCGGTTTAGAAAAAAAAGTTTTTATATTTAAGGATATATTAGAAAAAGTAACAAGATTCATATACTTATAAGAATCACTATATGCGCTGTCTTTTTGCTGTTCTTTTATGGATCGTTTTTGGAGCATCTCTACCAAGAGTCCAACAGTAGTCTGCAAGCATGGAAGGATTCCACTTTCCCTGGTACCTTTTTTCCGTTGTTGAAATATCCTGATGAAAACGTTCGCCGTGCTCATCACTTACGGCTCCGCAATTGTCAGGAAAAAAGTCCAGGTGTGAGTGTAGGAAATGTATCTTAAGAGACATATTACAGCCCATCTTTTGATACGATGACAGCATATTTTTGACAAGGGTTTTATAGTTGTCAGCTTTAGAAATTAGTGACCACCAGACGGAAATCATTCCAAGCAGTTTTTTCAATACCTGTTAAAGTGTTTTCAAACTGTGTATCTTTCAAAATATTTCGAATCTGTGGCCCAACAAAAATACCTTCTTCAACCTTTGCCTCACTTAGTCTTGGAAATTTCTGACGCAGGTATTGAAAATCTGACCCATCTCTATCTAATGCCTTGACAAAGTTTTTCATTAGGCCCAACTTGATATGCAGTAGTGGTAATAAATTTTTTTTCGAATCTACTAATGGCATATGCTGTACATTTTTTTGACCTGGCTCTAGGAATTGACGAACAGGTGAGTTTTGTCTGGTGTAATGAAGTGCCTTTGCCCGACTGTCCCATTCACACAAAAAACAGCAAAACTTTGTGTAGCCTAGCTGCAAACCAAGTAAAAGTGCAACAACTTTCAAATCACCACAAATATGGCATTGGTGCTCATCGTATTTCATGCATGTCAATAGGTACTTCATATTGTCATACGATTCTTTCATGTGAACTGCATACCCTACAGGAAGAGATGGTAAAATGTTTCCAATATGCAATAACACTGCTTTTAAACTCAATGTTGAACTATCTATAAACAATCTCCATTCTTCTGGGCTATAGTTTATATTTAAAGCCGCCAGTAAGCCGTTAATGTTACTGCAGAAAATCAAGTTATTCTCCATATTGAAAAATGGTTCTAAGTCTTTGTGGCGTTTACGAAAAACACATACCGAAAGATCGTCTTCTAACAAGTTCCACTGCTGCAGTCTTGATCCAAGTAACTCTGCCTTACATTTTGGAAGTTCTAAATTTCTTACAAGATCATTTAATTCTGACTGTGTTATTTTGTGCGGTTGGTGGCATGACATGCTCGGTATAAAATCAGGATCTCTTGACGTTGATGGCATATCTTCTTCCTGACGAATCACTCGATCGCCATGATCTGATTCGTTTTCTGATTCGCAAGTGTAGGATCCTGGGGGTTTTGGAATAGGATTTTCGTCACTGTGAGGCACAGGTCTCATCGCAGATGGTATGTTTGGGTAGTTAATAACCGATTTTTTTTCTTGGACATACCTGTGGCTTGTCCAACACAAGGTACCTTGCAAAGGTAGCAATCATTAATATGATTTGTAGGCTCTCTCCAAACCATTGGGACAGCAAAGCGCATAGACCGCTTTTTGCCATTTAACCAGCTCCTCAGACTTGAAGCACATGTATTACAGCAGATGTGGGGTGCCCACTGTTTGTCTTGATCACCTAGTTTACAACCGAAATAAAGCTGATATGCCTTTGTTATTAATGGAGTAATAGACCGTCTCTGAGACGCAAAAGTCACATCACCACACACGTAACAAAACTGATCTGGATTGTTTACACACTTTCGAGACATCTTGCATGAACGCTGTCAGCCAACTGAGGACAAAATGGCTAATATAAAACAATATAATGTACACGTATGTATAACGTAACACAATCATGCCGATTACATCATCTTTCCTTGCCGAATATAAAAATGTAGCACGTGCATTCTTGTGAATTACAGTATATTAACACTGTCACAGCAGGAACCCATATAATTACCGTATCTCTAAAACTTGAACTAATATTGACAGAATAAGTTTCATTCCGGTTTTAGCACATTAAAAATAGTAATATTTTGTTAATTTTATTTAGGATATTTTTTGGCTGTTGATCAGTGTAATTGACCGATCGTAAATCTGAAGCCGGCTATCGAAAGCATTTTGCTGTAGGTATAACAGGAGCCGAGATCCCTGTATAGAGAGGCGAATCTGGGACGCACTGTGTACTTTGTATTTATTATGTATATATTATTATTATTACTATTATTGTTATTATTACATAAGGGTAACAGTAGTAAAATATTCAACCTGTGCTCCCACATACCAAGCTGCTGTTCCATTAACAAGTAGCCACTCCTCACACCGTGATGTAAGCAACTACTCGTAGTTGGTGCGCATCTCGTGTGCCTCTCGATACTTGCCGATACATGGATTTAATTGCAGATAGCAGTGTATCCATCATCCCACCCAAGGATCCAATCACGCTTCTATTTCTCTAGTTATTTGAAGAAACCCAGGTTGCTATAATATGTTTTTCGCTAAGCCTGCAGGTGTTTTGTTCTTTTGGTAGACCTGTTATAGCCCAGTTCAAAATCATTCAACGCAATTTCGTACACGTATTTACCTCAGTCATGAACCAGTAGAACAATTCTTAACCAACATCTAGACGTTTTTACCTTCAAGGTTTTGTATTTTGCATTTCTAATTCGTGTCAGTGATGGACTTGGTATTTCGGAACGTAATCTCCAACAGAAGCCTTTTGATGGTCCTCTGCTAAGAGATTGAATGATTAGGTTAAACTAAATGTATAACAAACATTTATTTGTTATCAATATGTATAAATTACAAGACAGGATAGGAGCCGACATAACTGATACCGCATGCGTTGACATTCCTCTTAATTCTGAAGTATCCATGTTCTCCCCAATCAGCTCCGTAGGCGTCCTTCACGATCCAGTAGTCAACTCCGTCTTCATTTCCATAACCAACAATCAGGATAGCGTGGTTCACGGCTTGTGGTGCACTGCTACAGTCACTAGTCTCATCGATGATTCCATGACTGTACAAAGACAGCGATGAACCATCGATCGCTGCAGAGACCGGTCCTATGAAAGCTGTAACAGGAAGAAGGTGAAACTATTAGTTCAGTTCCCAAGTCATTTTCGATCAGATGTAGAAGTAATACATACACACAGCTGCAGTGATTTCCCTCTCGTCGTAGAGCTCAACGACATCCGTGATCTTAACTACATATCCATGGCGTTCGCACCCGCCGTCATGGCCTGTGTAAGGGTAGGATTCCTCGCTCATAATGCCATGTTGTTGGATATAGCGGAAGGCATTGTCCATACGCCCTCCTTTGCAGCCATCGTTATAGTATAGAAATCTGGTACAGTCTACTAGTTGTTGAGCGCTCAAATCGATCAACGTTTTGTTTTTGAGGAACAGCTGACCTTCGATGGTTCCAACCTGACCGGAAAAAGAGAATAGAGAGTTATGACCAGTTAGCTAATCATGACACTTTGCAGCCTCAGTAACTGTTTACCGTACTGCTCATTTGCTTCCGATGAGTCAAATAAGTTTAAAAGTTAAAAACGCTGAAAATACTATCAAGTGAAAAATTCATGTTTTGTTTTCTAGCACGTTAACTGCCACAATATAAAAAAAAATTTGATCCCCTGGGCCACAAGCTAAAAATTGTTTATTATACTTTCAAATTCATAAAAATGTTGACACGATATTTATTACTCGTCAATAGCTGTCAAAAATTGTGTTTTTGAACGTGAATCAAGTGTGTCTCACGTGGCCTGGTTAACCAAATTTGCACAGAGGGCCACATGAATCATGCGTGATGCAAAACATAACCTATCTATTCTCGGTGATCACCACGTGTTGATTCTTCTTTTAGTCTATGGTTATATTAGCGAGAATTTGCGGTTTTTATTAACCAAGGTAAGATTTTTTGTTAACATTTCATTACAACAATTAATTTTATGTTTTTTCTTAAGATAAATGGGTAGCTATGAGACAGAGCAGCAACGTCTGCAAAAACTAATGGACGAGATGTTTTCCGATGAAGAGGCCGATCCTTTTGAGGCTTCCTCAGATGAATATGAACCTGATGGTTGGCATTCATCGTCTTCATATAGCTCGAAAGGCAGTAACGAGCCATTAGTAAAAAAGAAAAAAACAGTGGATCATCCAATAGCATCTTCTGATGTTGGCAGAGAAGGTACTAGTAGACAGCTTCTTACCAGAACTGATGATTCATCGTCTTTTCAGAAAGTAAATCAAATTGATTCAATCCTGGACACCATAGAAGCGGTTATTCATCAATTTCAACTGGACAGCTCAGATGAAAATGAGGAACTGGTTCCATCACTGATGTGGCAAGAAGTTTCTGGGCAATATCTCAAGGACTTTGGACATTCCCGAAAGTGGTGTTGTAAATATATAGGACTTTTTGGTTTTTATCAGACCTTCAAAATGAGACCACACGCAAAAAGGACCGACTAATAGCGAAATTCATCAATTTCGTGTGATTCGTATTTCTAAATAACCACAACAAAATTGCAGCAGATTGGTTAAGTCATTTTTGAGAATTTATAATTGTTTATCCCAAAACACCTGTTATCTGGCCATCAATACTAGTTTATTGAGCAATATACAGGGTTAGTTCAAAGGCAATTTTATAGCCAAATATACCAGGGCCGATATGAATCGCAAACCATTCCGAAAGATAAATGTTATTTTTCTGTTCTTCATCTAAATCGGATGAACCTGATAATTACAAAACCACGGAGTCCCTTAAAACCAAAATCAATCCATCAAATTCTAGTTTCTACATCAGCAGTGCATAATTAACTAAAAATGAGATTGCGATTAATTGTGAGTGTGAAGCTCATTTAGATAAAGTAAAACGCAGCCTGAAGGAACTCGCAGGAAACGAATTTTGTATAGAACCACGCAAAATAAATCCAAAAGTCAAAATTTGCAAACTAGAAAATGATTACACTGGTCAACACTGGTTTTGCCACACGAACTTTGACAGCCAATTTTGTTTTATCAGTCTACCCTCATTATTACATGACAGCTGTCATATGTCTATTAGCCTCATATTTGTTGTGATACGGTAATACTCATAACTAGTACTACGGCAGTAAATTAACAGAAACGCTTACAAGTAAATCCTTATAAAAATATTTGTTGTTGAATTTGAGCACTTTTTTGTGATTTATTAACCCTGTGAATATGTCGAGGAAGTGTAATAATGATCCTAACACTTTTTGTTATGTCTGCGGAGAACTAACATTCAAAAAACAACGACGAAATTTTACGAATCTTGTGTTGGAGTGTTATCACCAATGTTTTGGTTTTTCTGTCGCCCATCAAGACAAATCCTGGGCCCCTCATGTGTGTTACATAACGTGTGTGAAAAATTTAACTAACTGGAAGAAAGGTTCACGACCTATGCCGTTTGCTGTACCCATGATATGGACTGAACAGCGAGATCACGTTTCAGATTGCTATTTTTGTCTCACAGACAAAAGGTATAAATTACAAGAAAAAAACCACAGTTATTTACCATTATCTTTGGCTATAAGACCAGTCTCTCATTGTAAAAAATTGCCAGAACTAATACCAGTTGCAACTACGTCTGTTGAGAACAATTGACAACCGTCCACTTCAAGTGAATGTGTTGACGAGGACGATGACTTTGAGTTAAAAGGAATTGTAAACGAGCCACATTTGATAACTCAAGGAGACCTAAATGATTTGGTTCGGGATTTAAATTTGTCAAAAAAGCAGTCAGAACTATTAGGATCACGTCTAAAAGAATGGAATTTGCTACATCATAATACAAAAGTTAGCTATTTTCGAAACCGTGATCAACACTTCAGAACGTATTTTTCTCAGGATGGAGATTTTGTGTTTTGCAATAACATAAATGAGATTATTAAAATGTTGGACATAGATTTTGATCTCTCTCAGTGGCGTTTATTTATTGATTCTTCGAAAGCAAGTCTAAAAACAGTGTTATTGCATAATGGAAATAAGCTTCCGTCTGTACCTCTGGCCAATGCTGCAAATATGAAAGAAACCTATGAAAATATGAATATTTTACTTGAAAAAATAAATTACAGTACATATTCCTTCAAAATCTGCGGTGATCTTAAAGTTGTTGCACTATTACTTGGACTTCAGCTGGGTTATACAAAGTTTTGCTGCTTTTTATGTGAATGGGATAGCCGAGACAGAACTAATCACTATATAAAAAAACATGACCTACGCGTGCATCGTTAGTTCCTGGGCAAAAAATCGTAAAGTATTTACCCCTTGCACAGCCAAATAATGTGCTTCTACCACCATTGCATATCAAATTAGGATTAATAAAAAATTTTGTGAAGGCAATGGATCGCAATGGGAGTGGATTTTTGTATCTAAAAGAAAAATTCCCTAAAATAAGTGATGCAAAGATAAAAGAGGGTATTTTTGTTGGCCCTCAAATTAGGGAGTTAATAAAAGATTCAAGATTTGAAGAAAAATTAACCGATTTAGAAACATCTGCATGGAAGGCTTTTAAAAATGTTGTTTCAATTTTTTTGGGTAACCCCAAGAGTGACAGCTACGGTGAGTTAGTTAGTGAGCTATTATTGTCATATCAAGCATTGGGTTGCAACATGTCACTTAAGATCCATTTTTTAGACTCGCACCTGGATTTTTTTCCTGACAATTTAGGGGCTGTCAGCGACGAGCACGGTGAGAGGTTCCATCAGGACATTTATAATATGGAAAAGCGGTACCAGGGCAAATGGAGCCCAAATATGTTAGCAGATTACTGCTGGACAATTAAAAGGGACGAACCAGAAGCTAAATATTCAAGAAAATCTTAGATTATTAAGTCATTTATAAAAAAATAACTTTTGATTTACGAGATCTGTTTTTTATTGTTTTATATTTTAAATTACTCAATAGAATAAAATCCCTGTCTAGCAAATTTTTTTTAACTGTTTATTTTTCCTTACAATCACCAATTAAAGTAAAAAATATCAAAAAAGTCCGTGTGGCACGACAAAGTTAAAATTTTGTTGACCAGTGTTATCAGACTAGTAATATTCTAGATGCACTAGTAGATCAAAACTATTTGGGAGGCACGTCTAGCGGCATGAAATTTTTGGACAAACACAACCGTAGGTATTTCACCGAGGCTTTTCTAGAAGTATCACCAAAAGTGCATAAATACATCATGGGTCGAGGATTTTTGTATGCCTGTAAGAACGTAGTGAAGAAGAACTGCCCGCGAACATCGCCGAACAAGTGTATTAAGTGTGTGAGTTACAATGAACAGCGTCAAAAAATCTAAAAACCGATCAATCTGTAACAGATTCGAACTGAAGTGTTTACAATCTGATTGTCAATAACATAAAATCAGAAACTCAATATGAATGAGAAAAGTGTCACTTTAGTGTACTTGAACGTTCGGTCACTATTCACAGGTTTGTATGATCTAAAAATGATGTTGTTTGACAGCAGTAGTGATAATCTTGCTGTATCAGAAACTTGGCTATCTAGTAATGTTCCAGATGAATCAGTAGCAATAGATGGTTATTTAATTTTTAGGCGTGATCGCCCGTCTCGCGGGGGAGGGGTAGCATTCTACGTGAAAAATGATTTGAAATGTACCCTCTTAGACATAAATATTGGCATGTTACAATCTGATTGTTATGAAAGTCTGTATATCTCGGTTGTCATTAATAGTTTCAAAGTTGCTGTTGGAGTCTATTATCGTCCTCCTAACAAGGATCTGCCTGCCTGCATTTGGATGAAACTTTGCCGCGGTTTCAACTTGACTTTGATCATATTATAGTATTAGGAGATTTTAATATTGATATATTGACTCACACTAAAAACAACCTTTTAAACCGTTTCAACTTGTATGGATTTTCTCAAGTAGTCACTGAACCAACAAGGATCTTTCAAAATGCAGTAACTCTGTTAGATCTAATCTTTGTACCAAATGAAACGATAGTAAATAATACATGTACGTTAAGCGCTTATGCTGTTAGTGATCACAAACTTGTATAAACAGTTTATGATTATTACTATTATTATTATTTCGTATTTGTGAGTAATTCACAACAAAAGATGAAAGACACATAGACTTTGTTTTAAAATATATATAGTAACGTACGTTTTTCGAATTTGTTCAATTATTCACAAATACGAAATGTTTGAATTTGTTCAGAAGGAAAAAAAGAACCAGTGTTTTTCACAGAAAAATAACATGTATCTTTCGGAATGGTTTGTGATCAATATGGGCAAGGTAAACACGTGTATGATGCTATCAAATGTACTTTGAACGATCCCCGTATATTGCTCAATAAACTGGTAGTGATGGGATAAAAAATTAGCAATTTTCAAAAAAACTACTTGACCAATACCTATACGCAATTTTTGTTGTTATTTAG